CAGCTATTCTCCTCACCAGCTATTCTCCTCACCAGCTATTCTCCTCACCAGCTACTGTGAATGGTTCATTGGACATTTCATACTATTGTTTCTTTTTCTTAAGAGGTGGTTGCTTAGCAACACCATCAGCTCCTCTTTTGACTCCTCCCTGTACAGGAACATTTACTACTGTCTTTGATATTGATGATGAAGGTATATTAGAAAGTCCATTTACAGTGTTTTCGTTTGATACAGGGGCTGCGTCAGTAGATGTTGCATCTTTTGTTGCCTCTGTCTCTGTTCCTGGCTCCTCTGCCTCTTTGCTTTGAGCTGTGAAACATTAAGGCAATCTTAGCAAAAAAAGATTAAACAACCAATACTCCCAGTGGGCAGTTCTGTGGCGTTCACTCCATGTATACTACCAGTGTTCAATATTTACAACACACACCTTATGAAGGGTGAAAACTGAATAGACCCGTTGCAGCACTTTGGAATGCAGCTCAATCTGAGGGACAAAACAATAGGTTCCAATTCTCATTAGATTGGAACTCTTTTGTTTTGTCCCTCAGATAATAAAAAWAATAATAATAAATAATAAACTCTTTATTTAAAGACGGTAGCACTGATCAAGCTGCTTTGACATCAGATGCAAGAGGTCAATACCTGAAGGAAAACCTTCATGGCCAGTAAGAGAAAAACACGTGGCAGTTTAGTCAAGAATTGTACCAGCAAACTTGAGGCTTTTATGAACGACTAAACATTCGACCTGTCTCAACAAACAAAAGAAATTTCACTCAAAACATACCGGTAGCTGTTCCAGCAGTCGTTGTATTCACTTGTGAAGCCTGAAAAAACAATATGAACACTACCATTATTTCAAAGTTAGAGTTGGAGTTATTTTCAACCACAGTTTTTTGTCTATTTGTTACCTTGATAAGACTTGGAGGAAACCTCTTTGACAATTCACCTAAAAGTTGATTAACCCCTTCTCTCTGGAAAAGAGAACTGGCTTGACTTGTCTTCTTTTCTGTTGTGGTTTTAGAATCTGTGATAAGGGAAATGACAAATGAACAAACAAAATCAAATGTTTGACCCTCAATTTCTTTCAAGTGCTGCCTCTCTGCTACCAAAGAGCTCCTCTCATCCTATCCAAACATTTCTCTGTTTTTATGATTGATGGTAAAGAATATATTGAATATTGTCATAATTCACCTTTTCGGCGCTAGCCGTCACAGGGTATAAATTGCTTTAGATTGGTTAATGTTAATGTTCRGACATTGTTCTTGAATTTCCGTACAAATGTACTGACTCTAAGTGAACTACTTACTTCTCTAAATACAAGTAAATAATCATTTTTCTGGCTCGATTGAAGCTTTTCTTACTGCTGTTAAGATAGCTAACTAAAGAAATCTACCTAAATTTTCTCTTTTCAGTGAATTTGTATGGAAATCCAAGAACGATGTCCGAACTTTTTGGTGACCATAACACAATCCAAGCTAGTGCCGAAAAGGTGAATTCACAATAACAAAGGTCCAGATGCATAGACTGAACTTACCTGGGTTTTTTTGAGAGTCCTTAAACTGCCACCAGTAACCCTTGGATTGATGATACCTGGAATAGGATACCGCTGGAAAAAAATAAACTAAATAATCAGAATACTTAGTAAAGGAAGGGGGACATTACATTGCATTTTTTTTATGCCCATGATATTAGTTTTAAGGGGGGGGGGGGGGTAAAAAGTTAAAAGGCACTTGTCCATGGGAGAGAGAGTGCTAAGGCATTCTTTCAAAACTTAGAATTCACATAGTCGAAACATTCCCCCAAAGAAAAAGAAGCTCCCTTACCTTCTTTGAATGCAGACTCAAAGTTATGTAATGCTGAGAGCTAAAGAACAAAGCAAAAAAAAGTTACACTATACAAGTATTTTTGTAGCCTCCTGGGTGGCAGATGCTAAAGTTGCCTGTGTAAGAAGCTAGAATTTTTAATAAAGTCATTTTTTCCGGGTTAGTTGAGAGCAGAAATGACAAAGATCTACTCTTTCATTGTAACTCGAAATGAATTGCTTTTTTCATTTGGTTTTGTCATTTGGCTTACCATTCTTGAATTGATAACAGAGCCCAAGTCAGGTGCTTGATAAACGATGCCAGCAAGAATATAATAATCGGCAATTGGAGTAACTGAGAATAAGAGAAAATAAGGATAAACACATGAGCAGATCTCTATATGGTATATATACCTAGGATAGCAAGATGAAGTGTTTAAACGTGTTGGTGCGCAAATGGGGGGTGGGGGGTTGGGTTGGTAGGAAATTGGTTTTTCACTTGACATCATTTCGCTATCTCCTTGCAGAATGTTCATCAGCTGAATCACAATATAATTCTTTCTGGCTGACAGCACATGGTGGTCAGTGTTTGAAAACCACTTGGAGGAAATAATAGATTTAAAGACTTATCAGCTGATTGATTTTTGGCAATAGACACACTGTACTGCTACAAACCATGAGTAGAAGAATGTCTTTGTTGTTTGCGTATAACGAATAGAATAGGATCTTGTACGTGGATTACTTCGTATTCAATGCCTGCCATAGATCTAAATAAACAAAAATATAAGCTTAATTAATTAAAGGAAGAAACAACATTAACGTCACAAACAGCTGTTTTAATCCGGTAAAATTACCTACGAATGAATAGTAGGCACATAGAAAACCTAAAAGTTAAAGTTCTATTGATAAAATAACCACGAATAACGAAAACTCTAGACACGAAGTTACAAGGTTTTTGGTCATCTTCACTCACTGTAGTGCTGACGGGTCCAACCGTTGCATTTTAACGACTTCATTATTACAAGTTCTATCATAGAAAGGATTAGTTCTCTGTGAAAAATATTCTAATACATTAGCTGGGTTTAGTATTGGGATCCACGCGCTGTCGTGCCATGAAACCCCGAGCTCATTCTCTGTTGTGTCGGCCGCCATCTTGTCTTCCTTGTTTGTTACACGGTCTTCCTGTGTGATATGGTTCGTACACCCTCGTTATTTCCTCGTAACTCATTCGTGAATTATCGTACTTGGCTTTAAATCTTCCGGATATWTACCGAAAACTGTCAACCGCAGATGTTATTGCTTGCAGGCGCATTTCAAGATGGCGGCACTCTTGCTTTTAAAAAAAAAACATTTAAAGTGGAAAATAATTGCGCATTTTTTCCTAGATTGTATGGCGACGTAAAGCTTTGTTCTTGCTTCTCTATCAAGTAGAACCTGTCTACTATGAATTTTACTTCAAACTACTGCAGTAACAAAGTTTTTTCCTGAGAAATTTAAAGTTGTAGGAACAGCGTGCAAGGAAAGATGGACATCAACTTGTGGTTGTTTTCGTTGTTTGTGGGTTTATTCGTACCGAGTTCCAGCCATAAGTGCCATCGTAACGTTGAGACAGTCTGGCTATTTGAGGCAGGGTCATCTCCAGTGGTATCAAGTCCACTTCTAGCTGATATTAATGGCGATAATGTATTGGATGTTGCTGTATGTACGTTTGAAGGGCAGGTATCTGTTTTGGATGGCCGTACAGGCCATGAACTACCGGGTTGGCCTGTCACAGCACCAGGACATAATTTCCATGCTGCACCGTTATTGGTAAGAGTCGATGCTTAAAAAGGATAAGTGATAATAAATGTAAATAATGTATCACCCCCCCCCCATGCCATGCTGTGGCCATACCATACCTTAACGTACCATATCTTAGGCCTGCAGTGCTACAAGTTTCCAAATCATATGAAAGCCACTCTATTCTAGATCTCTATCTGCTAAGAGATATGCTTGGTTTCACCCTCATCATTTGCATAATATATCTCAAACCTTTCTCTATTTTTAGTATGACATAGATAATGACGGCTTGATGGAAGTATTACTCAGTACATCTGATGGTATAATTATGTTCTTAAAATCAGATGGCACACCATTAACACAGCCAAYATTGAAGGTATATTTTATAGTATTAAAATAAGGGATGCTGAAAATTAAGGGTAATTCACTCACCTCTCCCCTTAAATTCAATTCCTGTACTTAACATTATAGAGTCCTGCCCTTACTTAGATAACCCCAGAGGTTGTTTCAGGGTTCAATCTGTGAGTTAGCCATACCCTGACTTAGATAAGCCCAGAGATTGTTTCAAGGTTCAATCTGTGAGTTAGCCATACAATGATTCTAATCAGCCCAAAGGTTGTTTCAGGGCTCGGTCCATCTGAGTTATATAGCCGTGCTCTGAATAATAGATCAGCCCAGAGGTTGTTTCAGGGCTCAATCTGTGAGTCAGCTGTGCTCTGACTTAGATCGGCCCATACATTTATTTTCATGGGTCAGTATAAATTTGATGGTTAGCTCTTTCATCTCTGTAAGTACCATGTTTTATAGAGGTTGTTTTGCTTGTAGGTTCCACCTTTGAAGGTTAATAAGAACTGGTATGTGATAAGTCTGGAACAAATACAAACCAATGAGTTCAATGTTGTGGAGCCAAGATTTGCTGCTAAGCTAGCAGATCAATCAGAATTCATTTCAAAGGTAAAAAAGTATAAAAGTTGTCTGTGACATGGTTGATAGGATAAACAAAGATAATGTTGAAATTTTTGTTGCTAGGGGAGTAGATTGTTAGGTTCGTGGTTATGAGATACTTTAAATCTGTGGCTCAACTGATGACCTCCTTATGACCAGCCATTTGCTTGTTACAGGTGTATACCTGATGTTGCAAACATGAGAAAGGCACCTAGACGTACCCTCCATAGGCTTAGAATTAGTTTCAGTATGATGGTTGTTAATAAAGTTTCGTTCTTGCCAATAAAACCCTGTCCTTGTCACAAAAAAGTCATAACTTTATTTGTTAATTCTTTTCTTACACAGAAAAACTCTGGAAAGAAAGAAGGACTTGCAGATGACATCTGGTCCTTGTACTCTACCACATCACCACCTTCTGGCCTGTCAAAGGATGGGTCCCAAGTGTATGTTGACGCACATATTTTGTCAACTCCTGTCATCGCCGACTTCAATGCTGATGGGCTGGAAAATGAATTGATTGTTCCTGTGAATTTTTACTTTGACCAAAAGAGGTATTTACTATAATAGACATGATCCACTGTTTTCGCATTTCAGACCAGGTGTCATTCCCTAGAGTATCATTTCTTTGTTTAACAGTTGTGAATGAGAAGACAGTGCATGAATATGGATACAATTCAAACAAAGAATCTTATTTTGGAGAGATTGACACATGGCTGAAATAGGCAAAACATTTTGTCAACGTGGATTGGGTCCATTGCTATCTGTTTTTTAAAGCCTAACCAATAGGTCACTATGTTCATGCTTCTAAATGGCTCAAACTAGTTTATTCTGTTTTTGTATTAATCACATACATAATTCTTTGTGTACAAGTACACCTATCACTGCCTGTGATTATAATTTCTCATCCATATAAGAATAATCTTGATATCTCTCCTTTGTTTAGAGTTTCTTCACACCCAAAAGATTCTGCCTTACCAGCAAAGGATTTAGAAAAATACTTAGGTAGTGGTCTTGTGGTATTCAACCTAGATACAGGACACATCATTTACAGCAGTGTCTTGGAAGTCTCAAAGGTCAGTCAATTATTTTATCAGCCATTGTGAGGTTAAGGAAAAAACTGGGTCGAGTTGGCATCGCAGTGTATAGTGGGGCTGTTTATGGGAACATGCGGGGGGGGGGGGGTAAGTCCCATATATGGACTATACTGGGATAATCCGCTGAACAGGGTATGGTTTTTCAAGCTTCTTGTCATAAACAGGGTATGCAATTTCACTCAAGTTCCAAGTTCTTCCTGAGTTTCCTGTCATCTCCTGTATTTCTACTTTCGTATTGACCGAAACTGGTTATTATGGTCGTAAAAAAACGATATGAGAGATGATATGATAATTGAAACAGGAACTCAGGGCAATAAATTATATCTTTTGTCATAAACAGGGTCCACAAATTTGAGTTTTTTTTATCATAAACAGGGTACCCCTTTCAGAATCCCAGCGGAACACTCCTACCCAAATTCAACATGTTTTCAAGATTGCATCTATTTCGCACCCTAAAACAGTCCCACAATGCACTACAATGTCAACTTGACCCAGGTGTTTACTCAGTAAATCTTATTTCTTTCCTTAAAGAATGTATACTAAATTTATATGCTTTATAATGACAGCGATCTACTCAATACCCTGGATATATACTCTCATCGCCAACAGTAGTGGATAATAGTAGTGTAGTCATTGGTACCTCTGCAGGGAATATTTATCTTGTAAATAGCTCTAAACCAGAATCACAAGTCTTGACATCCATGGATAGCATCCAAGGTCAGGTATGTTGAATATATCCTAATGAGCCTAAGCAGGGCTTTCAGAATGGTTTGGAGTATGTGGTTTTAAATCTGAAGTAGCAAGCTGTGATCTGATACAAGGAACAGGAGGTATTTTAAAGAAACGAAAAAGTAATTGGCAGTTAACTTTGAAGCAATCGCATACTCTAGGAAGTATGCTGCAAGAGAACTTTCAGAGTGACATGTTCTACTACAGTTGAATAATATACCCCTTTTTTTGACAGACAATTAACATTTTTCTTCAGATAAGTGTTGCTGATGCTAATGATGATGGTCATCTTGAAATGCTTACAGTAGATGACAGTGGTAATGTGGCATGCATAGACTTGACAGGGAAGAGGGTATGTATGGCAACTCATTGCAACAGTCTCGGACTGCATATTCAGGAACTTGGGCACAATGTTTTCCTATCTGGACCTCCTGGCCAGTAAATAATCTCAATGTCTCTTCTGTTAAGGTATGGGAGAGCAGAGTATCAGGGTCCCCCTCCACTGGCATTCGAGTAGCTGACATCAATGGTGACGGACTGTTAGATATCATCTTTGCAACTCATGATGGATATGTCTGGGTACTGAATGGTGACACAGGCAAGGTTCTCTCTGGTTGGCCAATCAAACTACCTAGTGAGATCCGTTCAACTGTTCTTGTCACTAAGCTGAAACCTGGAGTCGGCAGTGATCTTGATTTGGTGAGTTGTCTTGTATTACATCACATGTTTATTTCTTTTCCAATAAAATATTTTTCAAAGGTTACTGAAATACCATTATAAAGGCACTCTTCCATCCCATCTATGTTAGTACAGCCTATTTGTTTCCCAAATACTCTGCAAGCGATAACAATGATAATAGTATCGGTGATAATGTAATTAGTTTAAATATGGCAGCAGCAATCACACTAGAAATCATATATGCTTACTCATACCAAACCAACACTGTACTTTACCTATATACCCTTGAAAATTATGAACAACTTCAAAACAGCACTTGATTATATTATTTTGCAACTTTGACTATTATCTAGCATGGGCTCCCTGTGTCTAATGCTGCATTGTTCTCATAACATCCTCCCCAGGTGATACCTCTATTAGATGGCATGCTTGCTATCATCAGAGGTAGTGATCAGTGTGCAGAGTTCATTGATACTGGTGTCTCAGCTTTCTCTTCTGCTGTGGCAGCTAATCTCTCGCCCTGGACAAAGGGATTAGAGTTGGTCGTGGGTGGAGCCGATGGTTCAGTGTTGTGTCTAGGTGATATTAGTAACACGACTGCGTCTGAAAGGTACTAATAATTATAGACAAAGGCCAAGGAGGTGGTGGAGGAGGTTGGAGGTAGGGGAGAAAAGGGGGGGAGAAGGTATAGTAGTGAAGGTGGAGGAGAAGGAGGTGGAGAAGGTGGTAGAGGGAGTGATGGAGGACATGGTGGAGGTGGAGAAGGAGGTGGAGAAGGTGGTAGAGGAAGTGATGGAGGACATGGTGGAGGTGGAGGAGAAGAAGGTGGAGAAGGTGGTAGAGAGAGTGGTGGAGGGCATGGTGGAGGTGGAGGAGAAGGAGGTGGAGAAGGTGGTAGAGGGAGTGATGGAGGACATGGTGGAGGTGGAGAAGGTGGTAGAGGGAGTGATGGAGGACATGGTGGAGGTGGAGAAGGTGGTAGAGGGAGTGATAGAGGAGATGGTGGAGAAGATGGTGGAGAAGATGGTGGAGGAAAAAAGGTGGAGAAGGAGGGGGTAAGGAGATGGTGTTGGAGGTGTTGCTTGAGGGGTGAAGGAGGTGGTGGAGGAGGGGTGAAGGAGGTTGGAAGGGAGGTACAGTAGAGCTGAGGTGGTATTATCTTACAATATTACAGTAAGGTTGCTGGGTGCCAATTACTCCTTTTTATGTCTTATCTATATATTTTTGGACTTGAGGGCCACAGAGTTATCAGTGTTTTTTAATTACTGTTATGTGTTTACCCTCATGAAATAAAACCTATTTTGTTACTCTAGGTTACCAGATATGATTTCTAGTGAGAGTCTTTTTTCCTGGACATCAGAGACACTTCCCTGTACTGGTACCACGTTTTATTCTGGTAAGATTGGAGTAGCCTTCACTAGGATGACAACACAAACCACTGAATACCGAGGATCAGTTTTTCCTGTTGAGTTTGAGATAAAAGACCAGCAGGGGAAGGACCTCAGATGGAATCATTACACAACTAAGGTAACAATCCTCTAAATATTACAATCAAAACTTATAGCTAGATGGATGTTTTTACTGCTTTAATGGAAAAACCTATATAGTGCAATAGAAATGTCCAGGTTGTTACATGTAAGAAAACGTTTCTGAGACATACCAATTTCAATGTTTTTGGTTAAAAAAATTCCCAGACATGAAAATCACTGTCATTTTTTGATGAAAAAAAACTTTTGAGACATACACTGGAAAAATTTCAACATTTTCAAATGGACAAATGTTCGGACCTTTTTGGGGGGGATTGGCAAATCCATAGTGCAATAGAATTTGCCAATGGAAGAATACCCTTTAGGCAATAGAATGTATGTTATTCATGTTTCGATTGTATAATAATTATGGTGTYGAGTTCTAACAACAAAACTCTTTGTTTCTTTGCCTGTTTCTTTGCCTGCAGATATTTATTGGAAATAAAATATTAGCAGTGAATAAGACCATTCATAGTCCAGGAGTCTATCAAGAGTATGTACAAGTACCATCTCTTCCTGGAAGGGTTGTCCTGGTAATCAAGGTTATCACACCTAACAATCAATGTTTTCAAGATTCCTTTCACATCAGGTAACTTTTTTTTGCATCGTACTCATCACTGGGGCAGATCAAGGGGGTGTCCTGCAGTGCACCAGACACCCACCTAACAAATTCCTGGATCCATCACTGCATCAGCTATTAGCCGTTCTGAGGTTGTGAGAAAACTGGGTTGAAATGGCATTGTAGAGCAGTGGGACTGTATTAGGGAACATTACCAAGATTGCTACCAAAGAGTCCCACAATGTGTAGTTTCAGAAATTATCCAAACCCTAACCGCAGAGAATTTTTTTTCAGACCCCCACTACCCCCAGAAATTTAAATTGTCTTACATACAAACTCTGTATTTATGTTCTGTCTCTGACCCCCCTACCCCTCAGAAATCCCAAATTCCTCTGGGGGGGGGGGTGTGGATGATTACTGGATGAATAAAATTATAATTTACTTCCATATAATCTTGATTTTTATAGTTTTAACGCCCATCAACTTGAAGATGTACACTGGTATCTTTTGGCACCATTTTTGACCATGTCATGCCTACTCATAGTACTGTATGGTAATGATCTTCCCTTGGATGTTCTACCAACCTTCCTGAGAAAGCGTCCCAAGTAGAACAAAAGGGCAAAAACGCTAGACRTCAAGACTACACAGAGACATCCACTTGGCCAATGGGCTTACAGTGCAGTAATGTACTGTTAGAAGTTTTTCCAGTTATCTTGAGAAACACTTGTTGAAGAGTCATGTGCTATGTCTACTTGGTGAATCTCTTTGAAGTTTCATCTGCTACGTGTACATTGATAAGACATGAAAGATAGCTGTCAGGAAAGAAGATGACAGAAAGATGGAGAGAAGGAGGGAAAGGTAGAGGAAGAAAGGAATTCACTTTGCCAACTGTAGTAAAATTGTTGTCATGACTAATCAATTCCATCTGTGCCCCAAAGATGACCATGCTGGTAAATTAAAACATGGTTAAAGACCTTTTAGCAATTACAACTCATATTCAAGCTGAACTTTAAGCAAAGCCAGTGTTGAATGAAGCAAGCATTCCAAAGCAAAGGGATAARAGATATTGGGAAGCTAAAACATGATAAATTAAAAGAATTAACATCATCTTTTCCATCAAAAGGGAAAGGTTTGACTAATATTAACATTAAATAAAATAGCAGGCGATAATATGGAAAATGGACTGAAATGTTTATTATCTATTTACAGGTCATTATTTTTGACAAAGTTTACAACTTTCTACACGTCTTTTATTTTAATGTATAAATCTTAATTATTACTTATCAGTACTAACCTAGTATTCTTTTGTTTAGAGTGGTTTCACGTTTGCACAATACATGTATACCAGTTGTATGTACGTCACATCAAAGGAGCTCAATTTGGAGGAAAAAAACAAAAGAATTTCAATCTCATGAGAATTTGAAACCTAGTGCTATTACCTCCAAATTGAGCTGCATTATGAAGTGATGCAAGGGGTCTATAATATGCCTGTCATGAAACCATTCCAATTTCATGATTTTCAACACACATTAATTCACTTTTATCTACCATGCATAGGACATAAATTATACAATCTGCACTACACAAAAAATGGAGTTCTTATTTCTTTCTGAAAAAACTAGTTTAGGAATCGTGGCTTTCAGCCAATGAGAGCATTAAGTTATTTTACAGACCTTCAGCAAGGTGAATCTAATATCTTGTTGCACAACTCCCTCCCTACCCTACCCTCCCAAGGAGTGCATGGGAATAAATCCTCTATAATCAAGGACCTTTTGCATCATCACATGAATGCAAGCATACATGTTAGATGTCAAAACTTGTGTAAAATGATCATATTGTTCCTGGCATCTAACATGGCTGGCATCTAGCATGGCTGCCATCATGTGGATGGTGTAAAACTATCTATAGTCCTTCTCCACTCCTTGGAAAATGAAGTATGGTTAATTACTACCTGTAGAAATCACTAGAGTGGTAAAACGACCGTTGGAATGCATTGTCTCGCAGTGATAGATTTACAACTCGTACTAACATCCTGTGAGCAACATGTAAGTTATCAGTCTTGGGCTCAGCCTATATTTAATGTTCAAAACTTGTACATTCAGTTATTATTTCCATTTCCACTTGTAAGAAAGGGACAGTTTAATGCAATGACATAATTTTTCAAATTTGAATGTCATTTGCTAAAGCAATGTTTTATTATCAAAACATGCTTTCACACAATCTATCTATCGGGCTCAAATAGAAAAAATATGCCTATTAGGCAGACATTGTTACAATAACATGAGTAAATTTTGGCACTGCATTTTTTGCAACTGTCATCCCACTAATTTCAAGCCCTAAATCTCTAGTCACCAAAGAAATGTCAAACCCCTCAGGACAGAAGAATAGTGACAGAAGTATTGTCTAGTATTATTCATTGGACAAAGTTGGTCATCACTAGTTTAATATGTTCAGGTTTTTTCTTGCTTGGGTGTTTCGTCTGACATCAATCTCTTTGGGCGACTGAATGGATTATTGAAGGATACATTTGTTTTTTTCTTTCTTGCCAAGGAACCTTGATAAACAAAAAAAGAAATCAGTGAGTGAGTAAAGAACAAAAGCTGCCAAGAAATCCAACTGTGAGGCTGGAATATAATGGGCATTGTTTTGGAAAATATAACATATTATTTATAACATGTTTTAGAAAACATAACACATTGTTTAGACAAATAATCAAAGAAATCAGTGAGTGAGTAAAGAACAAAAGCTGCCAAGAAATCCAACTGTGAGGCTGGAATATAATGGGCATTGTTTTGGAAAATATAACATATTATTTATAACATGTTTTAGAAAACATAACACATTGTTTAGACAAATAATCAAAGAAAATCAAGATGGGACACTACAAAGTCTAAATTTTGCGCCAAAGAATCTTGTATGAGTGAAGGTACTGTTACTGAACCCTTAGTAGTCACACCCAAGTTTTAGCAGCTACAAGTTTAAGTTTATAATGGGTTATTTATGTTCTGAAGTGCTCTTTCATTATAACATTGATGGATATACAGTAGTATGACTTACTTTCAAGTTTGGATAGACTAAGACGGTCCATGCGACATCGTATGTCCCCTCCAATATTCTGGCAGCATTCCCTATTAACAGAAAAATAGGGTTAAATAGACCTCTTTACCTTGGGCGTAATGTTTACCCATCTCAGACCATGTGTCATTTTCGAGAATAARATTCTTTGTTTGAGTTGTCATGAGCAACAGCTAAACAAAGAAAGGATACCTTTTGGGAATGACGTGATCTGAGTTGGGAAAACAGACAATATTAAAGATTACTATCTTCTGTTCAGAATGATAATTACTATTGCACTCACTCCTGAATCTCATCTTCACACTCAACGCAAGACTGCACCAAAGCATCAATCATCACTGCTTGCTTAGAAAAGATCTGCAGCCTCTGAACAGTTGTGGTGCCGTCGTTTTCCTTGGAGTCAAACTCCAACCAGAACGTGTCTAGGCAGTCCTTGTTACATTCCTCTGCTGGTGTATAGTCCCATGATAGTTCATCAAAACCAAGGCTCAGTAAAATCTCCTATATGACACGAAAAGTTTATTATAAGTTAAGAGGAAAAAATATGAGAACCAGAAAACAGTGGTCTAGAAAGACTGACCAACGATAGAAATGGGTTGCTTAGGTTGTTTAGGGAATTTCAGGAAATAAACAAGTGGAGGCCAAGGGCGGATCCAGCCAAAATTTTAGAGGGGGGGGGGGCTAATTGAGTTTCTTCCGTCAACACAACGGAAAACAATATAAAATGCATCGTTTTTTTCTGCTGAAGGAGGGGACTTCAGCCCCCCCCTGGATCCACCCTTGGAGTCTGCAGGGGCCTCCTTAAAATGTTGTGGAGAGCCAGGCTAGATATAAGAATTATAAGTAATGATAAATAAAATAATTATAAAGCTGCATCTCATAACAATATAATAAATAATATTAAATTTTTAAGTAAAGCTACAACATCTCATTAGAGACACTATCTTGCACAGTAATAGACCAAATTTGTTGAGGTGCAATGKTTTCCTGTTTCAGACAGAGAATAAGATCCTTTGTTTGAGTTGTATCATATTCAAGTGTCTTCTCATGTGCAACTGTTAAACAAAGATATGATACTCTAGGGAATGACACATGGTCTTGAGAATAAGATCCTTTGTTCGAGTTGTATCATATTCATGTGTCTTCTCATGTGCAACTGTTAAACAAAGAAATGATACTCTAGGGAATGACACATGGTCTTGAGAATAAGATCCTTTCTTTGAGTTGTATCCATATTCATGCGTCTTCTCATGCACAACCATTAAACATAGGAATTATGCGTTTGGGAATGACACCTGGTCTGTAATGGGAAAAAACTGCATATCCACAGATTAGGTCTATTATACAATAATGTAGAAATCATTCTTAATAGCTTACATTTTTGGCCTCATCTATGATGTGGATTTTTTCTCTGTTGACTGCAACCCCTACAGCAAGATCAGACTTTCCTAAGATGCTAGATAAAATTGATGGTGGCTTTTCTATCTGGCCAGCAAAGAATACACTCCTAAAATAACAAAATGACAAAATTGTTCATGTTAACAATTATTCAAATATTAAAATATAGAAATATAGATAAGTTATAGTGCTTGGGAACGAGGTTATTCCATGCGAAAGCCCTTGGAATTAAATTCGGAAAAATTAATTTCCAACCTCGCTGGGTCCACATATTCTCAAATTCAAATATTAGTACACAGGTACCTACTAATGGGCCATTGACACCTAACAGGTCACATGAATCTAACTCCTTAAATCAAGGAGTTGCGTAACCTAACTCTTTATATTAAAGGGTAACGGCATAATACATTTCATATGCTTCAAAGGTTTTCCTCCCTCCCACGGTCATGAGATAAATAGCCGAATTTTGATTTCATCAGTTAGTTAGCCACGCCCTGAGTTAGATCAGCAAAGGGTTCTAGCTGTGAGTTAATTAGCTGTGCTTTGACTTAAATCTGACAGGGTCGAGGTTGTTTCAGAGTTTCATCTGTGAGTTAGCCATTCCCTGACTTTGATCAGCCCAGAGGTTGTTTCAGGGTTTTAGCATTAAATTAGCCATGCCCTGACTTAGATCAGCCAAGAGGTTGTTTCAGGGTTCGATCTGTGAGTTAGCCATTCACTGACTTAGATCAGCCAAGAGGTTGTTTCAGGGTTCGATCTGTGAGTTAGCTGCATGCCCTGACTTTGATCAGCCAAGAGGTTGTTTCAGGGTTTTAGCATTAAATTAGCCATGCCCTGACTTAGATCAGCCCAGATATTGTTTCAGTGGGGTTCGATCTGTGAGTTACCCATGCCCTAACTTTGATCAGCATAGGTTAATATGGTTTGGGGGCATCATTAAAATTTGAAGGTTAGAGCAAATTTCCAATGGCCTATTTATTATCTTAGCACTACTTTGTTAAAAGTCCTTGTTCAAATGATCAAATAAACGAAAACATTCCACGTTTTTACACATTTCTTACAAACATACCCATAGTATGGAAAGGTCCAACATTTCTCCAAGTAACTCCTGTACARTTGCCTTAACTCCAGCGATCTGTTGGACACCTCTTTGTATTTATCAAGTAACTGTTGCTCCAAAGTGTTACGTGTGGCTGACCGCCGTCCAGGTAATGTCCACCCCACTTTGCAAGCAGAAACTGGCAAATATTCTGTCAGTTTGTCCCTGTAACATAAATGATATCTGTAAAAACCTCTTTCTAAATACAGGTCAATTTTGGAAGACAAAACAATGACATTCTGATCTCATGAGAACTGAGGGAATTGCTGGAAGGGRTCTATAAGACTGGTAATGAAATTCATGACATTTATTCCATTGATTGAAACAAAACAATAGTATACTCTCTGGTTAATAGCACATATGATGGGCAGTGTTTGCCTGTCGTTGTAGGCTGGTAGTAAGATTCATGAGATTCATTCCATTGATTGATACCAAGCAACAGTATAATCTCTGGTTGATAGTAAGCACATGATGGGCAGTGTTTGCCTGTCATAAAAGACTTAAAGACTTAAAGAACACCAGAGAACTAAAAACTTTCAAAAAAAGCTTAAAAACTCATATCTTCATAAATACATTATAAATAGATATAATATAGATACCAGTAGTTAGAGTTACATATATTATATATCATTTTTATTGTTTTTATTATTTTATTTTATTTTTTCTTAACTTATATCCTCTAGTTTTATCTTTAACTGTTTTTGGATTAGTATTTTTTTTTCAATGTTTTGTATATATTTAAACAAGTATTTTGTGAAGCGCTGTAGAGTCTTAGATACGGCGCTATATAAATATCTATTATTATTATTATCATTATTATTATTGTTGACTGATAATGTTTGATATCAAAGAATACTCACTTAAAGAATCCAAGTTTATGGTCTTGTTCCTTGAATTTCCCATTCTCGATAACAGCCAGCATGCCTCCCAACTCCATGCTTTCATTCTTGCTGACAGGATATGTGCCTGACATCACATTGAATTTAGCCTACAAAGATAATGATCATGAAAGGAGATGAACTTCATCAGCTTATCACTGCCAAGGGCAGATCCAGCCAAAATTTTAGGGAGGGGGGGCTAATTGAGTTTCTTCCGTCAACACAACTGAAAACAATAAAAAAAAGCATCTAATTCTTCAGATTTGTTTTGATTTTTTTTCTGCTTAAGGGGGGCTTCAGCCCCCTTTGCCCCCTGGATCCGCCCTTGACTGAGCCTAATGAGAAATAAATCCATGTGCTTTTGTATTGTGATCAGATGCTCTATAACTGAGCTACCGGAGACTCTTGGTGAGAAACATGTAATGGCCTATAATGGGTTGTCTAGATTTAGTCTCCAAATTAAACTGCAAGGCTTAGTGATTATGATTTAAGACATAAAATGTCAATTTTATTCCATGCGTCATTCAATATTACAGCAAGCAGGAAATTATGAAAGCATGAGAGAAGTGTGAAGAAAAAAAACACAAGCCACGGGTGAATGCTGACATTTCTTGAGTGCTTGAAGCTCTTCCTAACATGACACCTCAACCTTATATCAACACAAGAAATGTGTTAGATGTGCATTAACYTTACCTCTTCAAACAACCTTCTGATCACCTTGGCATCTTTGACCTGATGGAAAACAAAATATATTTTATTTAGTACAGAAGTCTAATTACTCTGATGCTCTAATTATAGATAATATTCATTAGAACTCGGATATATACATGGCCTATGCAAGCATAATAGTCAAATGCAGCAAGGGAGGGGTAGGTGAAGCCATAACTCTTCTACTTTTTCAGCTTGCATGTTACAATTATATTTGAAATGATGACAGTTAATGTCCCAAATCCACTTGGGCATATGTTTCTCCATTTCAGACCATGAGTAATTTTCTTCAGAATAAATTCTTTGAAACATGGACTGAAATGGGAAAACTATTAGACCCAAGTGGAATAGGTCAATTGAGCTTTCCTTGCTTTACCCCTATCACTTTTTGGGTGCTCCACAGTCCGTTTTAGTTAAGTAATTTTCGATAACAATCATAAAATTCTTTTGAAGGAAAATTTACCTTCTTTTCTTCTGACAAGGGATAAAATGAATTCCTCTGATAGCATAGAATAGGTTCATCTGCAAGTGAAAGAAAAAAGATAAAGTTAGATAGGCTGCGTACAGTACAATATTAGTGGAAGAATATCTTTCATTCATAACTGTTCGTTTTATCAACCATAAACTTTAATAAATATGATCCAAGCTTTCGGCCTACTCGGCCATCCTCAGGGAAATGAAAATCGTTTCAATTGACAAAGAAAATGCAATCAAACCATGGCATATGTGAGCGTGCATAAATTAAACGGAGTCACGCATGCTTAGAAAAAAACAAATTAATTAAATAAATAAATACATAAATGAATAATAATAATAATATCTTTCGTGTTTTCGCATACCCATTTCAATAGCCTCATCATTGGCATTTGTAAATTTCTTTAAAAGTTCTGGCCATACTTTGCGCAGTTTGTAAGGAATGTGATGATCTTTGAGCTGCAGTTCTAAAAATATGATCAATAAGGACTGTTTATTAGTTATATTATCATAAGTTATCATTATCTTCATCACCATGATTAATATCATCCTTATAATAATTGCCATCCATTGCGATTATTATCAAATCATCCTCAGATCTCCTTATTGCCATCATCATTATCACCATAATATATCATCAAGATTAACATAATTATCCCCATTATTTTTATAATTATCATCGACATCATTGTCATTGTAACTGAATTAATCATTCATTCCATTAATCTTTTTTAAATCATGTGATAGGCTGTGGCTAGCAGTCCATTGCCATCCCACATCAATATATTAAAAAACATATTATAAAAAAACTATATCCAATAAATTAAAAAACATTTGACTAAAAAACTTACGTAGTAACGGTGATTTAAGCCAAATACAGAAGACAGCTTCTGCGTCAGGTTGAAGACTGAGGTTCTCCATCATGATCCGCTTCATCGTACCAGCAGTAGCATTCTTGCCGTCCTCTAAGTTTAGGAGCCGTGCAGCTTTTTCTACTAGGAAGACTGCCACTGTCATAGCTGTATGATTATAAAATGAACAATAAATTGCTAAAATTATAAAAATGCATGAATATAATACTGATTTTAAGCATTAGGCCAGTGCTGTTGGCCAATTATTGGCCCGGAGGGGGGTACTCCCCTATATTTGCTATACGGGTATGTGCTGCCCTATAGGGTATGGTTTTTCGGCTTTTGGGTCTGG